TCTGGATCGAGCTGTTTCCTCTTACTTTCCTCAAAAGGTTGGATTTTGTATCCCACTATACTTCCTATTCACATACACGATTCTTATTATTCACTGGATTATTTTTTTCCATTTAATTTTTGCAAAGAGAGAACAAAAGTTGAATGAAAATATATAAAAAGAAACGAAAATAACTCCGGTGTGTAGAAACACTAAACATTTGGCAAACACAATAAAATAGACAGCCATTTTTTAATCTACTCAATTCGAAAATAGATACATTTGCATTTAGGGTTCTTGAAAAGAAGAAAGAAGTGGGTTTTGACCTGCTGAAAGGTTATTTTCCAGCAGCCAGAAGGCCGTAAGCCACAGCCCTCCAAACCAGTGTCCAAAACTAACATTCTTTCTATGTGGCCTTGTCAGTCATGCCTTCCTGACCTGCTGCTGCTGCAGCCACTGTGTGTGTGTGTGTGTGTGTGTGTGTGTGTGAGAGAGAGAGAGAGTGTGTGTGTGTGTGTGTGTGTGCGTGTGTGCTCGTGTCCCCGTGTGTGAGGGCGTATTTGTTTTGTCTGCCCCTATCTATAGCTTTGAGCTGCCCCTTTCTTTCACAGCGAGAGAAAGAAACCACACCCCTCCGGCCCGAGCTGGTGTGCACGTATGAGGTGCCGTGCTCTCTGGGGATTTGACGATTCTTCCTGGAGTTTTTGCTCCGTGGTTAAAACTACACCAAACCAGATACCTCTGCATTATACGCACAGGTGGTTTCTCCCAAAGATTTTCTGATAACATTATTATGAAAGCATTATTTTTGGCAGTGCAGTGCACTTGTCGGAGACTTCTTCCCCCAGATCATTCAGGGAGAATGTTAAACATATTCTAATGTAGAAACAAAGAGCTGCAGATGTTTCGATACAATCACCGATACAATAATGTAAACACATGTTTGTTCACACAGCACAGGCTTCGGCCTATAAGACCAGGGTCTGGATGAGACCTGCTCTTCTCTTCTCTCTTGAATACCAAAACACACGATTTTATGAGTGTGTGTGTGAGCTCCATCATATTCTTTGGGATAATGGCACATGTATGCAGTTTCCCCACCACTTTATGTTACACCTGATGACTGCACTGGTGCTTCTGTGAAAGTTATTGTTAAGCATTAGAAAATTAACCAGCATATTGTCTTTGATAACAATTTTCAATTATTTATTCTCAAGCCTAAAATTATGTCAATAAAACCGTCAATTACACACAGAAAAGTTAATATGGATATCTGTTTTTTTATTCAGATTATTTATTTTTCAATTTTTAAAACTAGCAGTGCTCTGAATGGGGGGGTGCTGTCAGACTGTCCCAATGGAAAATTATAATCAGGTGAAATCTTTATCTTATTCTTAAGCGCATTTATGAGCACTCAGCAGCTGAATATTTTCTAAGGGAGTTTGATCAAACATTACTGCCAGGCACAATACCTCAGTAACTAAGTACCACATAATAATGGACAGCAATGACAATGATGACAACATTGATATTACTAGCACTAATAATAATAAATAGGAATAATATGCTTGCTGTAAAGACCTGCCTTTTCATCTTAAATTACTTCTTTCGATCCAGACCAGTTGCATTTATCATTGAATCCAACGTCTGTGTGCTTATGCTATGGAAAAATGATGTCTTGTTGTCCATAACAATGAGGATGTATTGATACATTTCAGGTGTAAGTGCTCCCTGCGCAGCCTGGGTGGAGCGTCTCCACCTGGAAGAGGGAGTGTGTGGGGGCATCCTGCAGAGGCGCAGCAGCGTGGCTCATTGGAGAGCCACAGCCTGTCTGGGAATGGAGCAATCAGCGTTATTTCAGTCCAGCTGGTTGGATGAAGGACCATTCTACAGGCATTACAGATTAATCTGTGACAGGATCTCGCCAGGATCAACCAAAATGGAATGTTTAACCTCACATGACCCAGACCTCTCGCGATAAGCCAGGATTGGACATAACCCACATCGGGACTGCATTCTAAATGTATTACCTGACGTCTAATGACAATATTATTATATTAATACCACATACAGTATACAAACCCATGATGTGAAGTTCTCTGGGAGCTATCTCTAAACCCAGATGTTGATGGGCTTCTCATAAGTCATTTTTAACCTTGTGTTTCTATCTTTTAGTGGCTCAATACAGATTTCCTGCTAAGAACTCCTACATCTGCTTGTGCTTCAGAAATTGTTTGTTATTCTCCACTGACTGTAGAATTTTCATCCTCAGTGAAGCAGAAGAACTGGAAAGTCTTGATTTAATACAAAGGAATAAATCCAATCGACTAAAATGATGTGGATTGAATGCAGCCTTTGTAAATTCAGTAAATGTGTTCGATTAATGTGATCTGTTTTATTCTTTATTCTTTGCATAAGGGATCAATTTAGTGCACAAAATTTCAATATGTTCGTTCGGGACTTTAACAGAGTTTGAACCCAAAGAAAGACTTCGTAGATAACACCGATTACGCTTCAGAGGGATTTCATGAAAAGTAAATCAGATTTATTTTTACTTTGACCTTTTAATCCAGAGTCAGTGGTCACAGCAGGATGAACAGTGTCAATCTGGTTGTGATTAAAACATGATGGTAACTAAATCCTGACAGTGCAGCGTCACCCTCTCTCCTAAATCACTCTAAGTGTTTTTGTATTATTTATTTACTGCTGTGTGACAGAGGTTACTAAATAAAGTTGGCCTGACACAGTCTCATAAGGTAAAAGCCTACTAAACAGCTCATGTAAAGACAGTGAAAATAAAATACAGTGTACCCCGTACCCACATTTGTTTCTTTCACTTTATGTTGCACTTCCAAATCTAACCTCAGTCAATTTAGCTGAAGTATAATCATAACATTCAGAAATATAACAGCCGTGCATCCTTTGAAAAGCTCTGTTTACTGTATATTCAGCAAACTATATTTCGCCACTATAAAGGCAGGTATGTCTTTTTATGAGAGAGTTCTTTTAAAAGAGTGTATCTGTGTACAATGAAGGCTTTAATGTGCATTTGCCATCTAACACAAACATGATTATGTCAGACGCTGCATGTAACATTCTCTTTGTTCAAAGGGTTTTTTTGATAATGTGTTTTAATGTAATTTATCAAAGATTCTATTTCTAACATCTCCAACCACGAACACATTTTTACTGTTTAATATTGTAAATAGAAATTGGAGGTTAACCTTGAAAGAGGACTTCTGTTCACCAACTAGTCGGCTTACAAACAAAAGCATAATCACTTAACTAGATATGTTTTGGAATAAAATGAAAACATCTACTCCACTGAATTCTGTGCCATCCAGTTTTCCTGAAGTTACACACTGTGCCCTAATTTTGTACCTGCTCCGATGCATGAGGACGCCCTTGTGAAATCGTGTGTCTCCTGAGAACTCCAGTCATTTGATTTCAAACCTCATGACTCTATATTCCTCTGAGTGACAGCAGTAATTCTCACTGTGGTTTGAAAGCAATTCAGATTATTATCAATCATTCTCAGTCGCTGTAATTCTTGCAACTCTGGGTGGAGTTGTTTTAGGTAATGTGCTCACAAAATATGAAGCAGAGACGATTTGATTCCATCTAACTTCTTAAGGGGACTTCTGCCGACTGTTTTCAGCAGTTCAGCTTCAGGTTTGGATTATTCCACCCACAGGCTCAAAGGTTAATGGAGTAACCTGTAGGCAAATGACAAGGCATTGTGTTTGTTTACTGATGACATCACCACTTGTTGAATTAATCTGTGTTAAGGCGCATTATCTGCTTTACACCTTTTAGTCCTCAGAAATCAAGGGATCAGAAACTAGCTAGAGGCTGCTCTCCCATGGAAGTTAATACTGAGCCAGTATAAACCTTAAATTAATACTTGTGATCTCAGAAAAAAGGGAGGATCACGTTGTTGACTTGAACAGCCTCTGCTTTGCTTCCTGGTGAAATGAAATTTTCCCAACTCTACAATATTTGGAAGGTATTCATTTATTAGCAGTGGCAACTGCTTTTAATCAGGTCAATCTGTATAGCACCAGCTTCCTAAGTGGATTTTTTCTCACTGTCACGATAAAAGTATTCACATTTTTTATCTATCTCCTTCACTAGTGACATCTGACTTATTTCAGAACCACAACCATGACTATTTCAATCCTCATCAACATACTGGAATGACTGACGAGAACTGATGCAGAAGTAATCTTATGCAAGAGGTATTCCGACATGCTGAAGAACTTGCTGTGTGGCCTACAGGCATAATAAACACAGCAACATAACTTTATAGATCTAAATGAGCAAGTGTTTGTGAACAAAACAAAAAATGAAAGAAAAACATATTTTCCATACCACTGACATTTAACAACAAATCTCAGTTTTATTAATTCAAGGGTTTCTCACAGTTTTATTTGCTGTTATTGGGTCATTAATAAAACAAAAATGAGTAAGGAGCATTAAATGTATACAAACTTACATAGCATTCACACTGATAGACTGAAGTGATTTTCAGTGGTTTCAAATGATTAATTCTTAGAACTATTTGAGCATACCATCATTTCAAGTCTGTGGCGTTATTCTAGTGATGCATCGCCGCTAAAGTGTAAATACTCTGATATCCTAACTCTCACAGCTTGTAGAAGTAGAAAAGGTAACTTTGCATAGGTGAGAAAAAATTATCTGTTTTCCAGCTCAAGATAATTCTGTGGAAAGGAGTCAGATTTCCTTTTTCTACTGTGTCGGAACTTCATTCCATTGTGTATTCATACTCCAGTCGCATAACTTTCCAGTCGTAAACCTTTCTATAATTTGTTACAAAAACAATTACACTATTTTGATTGTATTGACAATATATAATTACACCAAGAAAACTGGCATGATTTTCTCTAAACACGTTTATTTCGGTTTTCTATTTTATTAGAGTATGCGGCAGAATATAGGGCGATGTAGGGTGCTATCCGGTCTATATAAATCCGCCGCCATCTTACATTTCAGACTTTCTGCGGTTCCGGCTGCTGTCGCACCCACAGTCTGTGGAGGGAGTGGATGAGGGCTCCCCGCTGACGCTCTTCTACACATTTTCCTCGACTTTTCTCCAATTCCAGGTGGCTTTTACTCTCAAGAACCCAAGTGGACGGACTTGCTGTGTTGACAAGGGTAGGCTTAAATATTCAAACTATTATTTTTTGGTGTGTTTTCCTCCTTTTTTTTTACCTGCCGTGCTCTGTTTGAATGCCAACGGGATTGGAGATGATTGTTGTGTGCGGGCCGGCCGGGGATGCTGCTGCCGCAGCTAGCGAGTCAGCTGCCTTCACGGCAGACATTTGGGATAAGCCAGCCACCGCCTAATGGAAACCTAGTCTGTTACCGAACACTTTCTCTGACCCAACTATTAAAGAGGCTTTTCTGTCCGCAACTGTAAACTATTTACATAGCAGCTAGACTTGTCCCGTGGATCTAAACGCCCCGCACTTTATTCGGAAACAGAAAAAACGGATTTGCAGCAAACGCCGATATGAATTTTTTTTTGGCCCCAAGTTTGTTGAAAGTCTTAACGTTGGTGAACGTTAGCCCAGCTATTAGCCAACTTTGTGTTGGCCACATTCCTCTTTTCTGACTCATGTTTTGGGCGACTTGACTCTCGCTGTCGGGTCGTCAGATTTTTGCTGCCGTTTTTGCTTAACGACCGCCGCTTGAAGGGGGAAACGTGCGCAGGTGAAGCACGGCGCCGTTATGATTAAAAACCGTGTCGGCAAACGACACTTGGATAAATGAAGGTAGCCGTTTTTGTCGAAAGGCTCCGTTGGAAGTTCGCGTGGCCGCGCAGACAGAGACGTAAACCCCTAAACTTTGTGCCGACATGCTGGCCTCGAACTGAAACGTTTCAGTTTTTCAAAAAAGTCGAAGGGGGCCACGAGTGTTTTCCACTCGTCCTTTTCAACAAAGACCGACAAATTCCTCCCTGCCGAAGTGCTTTGGGAGGAAGGCGAGGAGGAGCCAGAGTGAAATGTGAGTCGGTGGTGTTGGGGCAGAAAGTCAGGGCAGCCCGCAGCTGTGGAGGAGAGGCGGGGCGCCACGCTTTGTGTTTTGGGTGAGCGTTCGCTCCCCATTTTCTCTGTTTATTTTGATTTAATATTACTTCAGGTTTAGACATTTTGTCCTGGTCTGTTTTGTTGGTGGAGAGTTGGACATGTTGGAGAGAAACATGTGACACGCGACTCCACAAAGTTAAACACCTCGTGTCTTTCGGGCGTCCCCCCGATACAAACGAATTAAATGAATGAAGAAAGCCTGTTGTAGGGTTTGTTTGTTTTTTCTCGCGGAAGCCTTTTAAAATAAACATAACAAACTTCCATATATTTTTCAGTACGAGGTAATTGTTCCAGTTTCCTCATTTCACCTGTCCGGAGATCAGTGCCCCTCTTTTTGTTTCTTCGTTTTAAACTTAAAGCTCAAATATTTCGGCAATTGGCCTCCAAATGTCGTCCAGTGAAATCCCCAAACAAACGGAAACTCAACGTCAAGCGGGCTAATATCGTCAGCATAATGTGCATTTTTTTTCTGACAGTGCAGACACTTTTTTATGACGGAAACGTGGGTGTTGGTTGCATCCGAGACCGTAAACGGCAGGCTGACACAATCCAGCCCGAACAGAGCAGCTACAGGGAGATACGCGTTCATTTTCAGTGTTTTTCCACCAACAGACTTTGTTTGATTTAAGCAGTAATTAGGATGTTTCAGGCAAGCTCAAATTGATGCCTGTAAGTGATATGATGTCAGTTCCTACTATAATAAAAAGAATAAACGTATCAGCAATGCCCTTTGCCATCTGTTTGCACTACTTTAGAAACAACCTGTGCTGTTTACATATTTGAAATTAGGTTACTTTTAGGACAGAGGACAAAAGTCCCCGGAATGCTTTCCCCGTCCCTCCTCAGGGGTCCAAAATGGAGAGGTAAGCCCTGCAGCGGCTGCAGGCACTGGGTTCATTGTGTTGCTGGCAGCCAGCAGCGAGTGCTGCTGACCCTGCACATTATGCGGCTAAGCCTGTGGCAGCCTCTGTCTCTGCTTGTGCCGATAATGCAGCTTGTTTGGGTCATTTACTCATCTGGATGTATTGACTCCTTGTGTTTTTTCACTAGAGAGTAAATGGGCTGTGCCTGGGTTTGAATGGATTTTGCTCATCTGTTGTCCTTTACTCAAACACATCTCTTTAATGCAAACGGTTGAGTTTTTCCTTAAAATGTCTGTGTATGTTTTTCAAAATGTGCTTTTTGATAAGTGAAAACTGTAAAAGTAATCGCAGATGTCTGAGCCCGATTACCTTTAACACATGACAAACCTAAGCTCTGCCCAGGCAGAATTCCAGTTGGGAATAGATGAACATAAATAGCTTTTTGGATGAGCTTCCAAACAGTTCACATTCCGATTATTTATTCTTTGTTTGATTTTTGTTTCTCACCCTATAACTTAATAACATTTAGCGAGATACTGGTGTTTTTAAAATTTGTATTAAATTATAAAGGTGTCAGACTTGACTTACTGGATACATTCATTTTTCAAAGGCTGTCCTATTTCAGCGTGTTAAGGTTGTTTTCTTCTTTATACTCATCTAATAGTTTTATGCATTGTATTAAAAACAGAGCTAAATCTGCCTCTGAATTCTGTGGGTTGTACTCTATAAGATGGGACTTTGAAACAGTTTTGTGCTTTAAAACTGAGCCATAGAATCTGTGTGTCAGTTAAACAGTTTCTCTGTATGAACGTCACACCAACTGCATTCAGGACAGTGCCAGAGGGACGCTGCTCCCAGTTATCCACCTCTGCACTGGAGCTGGATGCCCTTTAATTTGAGCACTGACCTGTGGTTAAACTTCATGGAGCTTTGAAGTGAGGCTCTGTGCATACACTATCTACATTCAAATGTCTGATATGCTTGATAGTTTTATCCGGACATAACTAAAGATAATGTTTGCCTTTGTTTTTCAGCACGGGTCAGACATCCTTCTCTTAGGGCTTGTGTGTTAGTCAGTAGGCATCTGGTTTCAATTACATGGCTTTTAACTACATAACGCATAACTCTTATTGGATTTAGCGTCTGGCTTCAAAGCAACCTACCGTTCAGATTTTTGTGGCCGTGCTGTTAGCTCTGCTTCAGTACCCTCACAGCAACATGTTGGTCTTCTAGAGTTTGATTTTAGATTTTAAGCTGCTGTTACTCCATCTCGGTTGCAGATGGAATAATTGCTGGTTAATTAAAAACGTTTTCTAGGTCAGATTTAAAGAATCATTTTACTACCCATGCGAATCATAAAAGGTTCCACTGTGTGCTTTGATTGTATGTTTGATTTGTATCCAGGCATGTATGGGCCATATGGCTCCCATTAGGACTGGGCTGGGTTATGTGAGGGCAGGCCTGCAGTGCTGGGACCATGGCGTGTGAACAGCAAATTTGAGTTGTGCATTTGTGGTTGGAAGCAACCTTCTTGGAAAAATGATTCAAAATTGTGTTTGAATCACACAGTTGAGCAAAGGTGGTGTGGTTGTCAGAGCAAGGAAGTAATTCAGACCTGTGGTTTAGCTGTCCTTGGAAGTATTTGCATGTTGGCACTGATTTAACAAACTTCTTCACATCCACCGTCTCTGACTGCTTTTTCAGCTTGTATGGAGGTCTTTGCCTTTTTGTGCTCTATCATTTCTATTTTCTGAACTCTACTAAAAGTCCAGGATTCTAAAAGCAGTGTAGCTCCTATCCACAATCCCACGAGAAGCAAAGTGACCAAATTCCACCTTGAGCATTTGAAGTGGTTTTATTAAAGCCAGGCGTTGGTGTAAGATCCTCCATGTATAGTATGCTCTTCAGACGTTCAAGCCCCAATCTATTTGATGTCAAGCACAGACCTTATGATGATTACCCTCTAATCAGCCCACATCCAACACACCAAAGGTAATATTCCTGAAGTAGAGCAAAACAACTCTGGTAGTGAGTCCTGTTTGAGTTGGATTCTTTAAGGATTTTGAGCTTACAGGGGGACTCCAGGCTAAATAAACACAGGCCAGACTTGGCTAAGCACACCTTTTTGTCAGAAAGTAGAACTCAAGTTATTGTGGGGGAAAAAAGTCCAGCGTGTTATTTATTGATTTGTTTTTGGTTTGTAATTCTTGTCCCTTATTTAGATGCAATATTTGCTCAGTGTGCCAAACAGAAGCTTGCTGGTGATGATTGAATCAAAACTGTGCATGTTTTAGAATAAACTAAATAGTCACAGCCATTTTTTTAAATTAGTTCTCACCTTGACCACAATGGTTATTCTTCCCCTCGCATCAGCTCGGGATTACTGTTGAAATCTGCAGTCATTTCTTAATTCCACCTGCACTATGTAAACCGTTTTAACCCGTGACCTCTGACCCTAACCCACCTGCACTGGCAGAAGTTTGAAAGGGGGGTGGCTGTTCCCGAGAAGTGTACTACAGATAGTTGGGACTTGCAACAAACCATCATGGAGCTTTCCGTCTTTTTCTACCTTTGAGCGATGTGATTGGCCTCTGAGTCAGATAGAATGTGATATTTATTTTCTTCTTGATTCACCATTGGTGTGCTTCTTGAGACCTACCAACTATATCTGTTCTCTTTTGGACAAATTCCTTATTTCTGAGTGTTCATCTTGTGCAGCTCTGTTTCTGGTCTTTCTGTGCTGTAGCAGTGAAGCATTTCCCAGGTGTTAGGATGTGTTTTCAGTACCCAAAATCAGCATGCTGTGGGTTAGTGTAATGTATTTAAATGCATAATTTTTTTGGTTTCAAAGTGTTGCTTCATGGTTTTTTACTCATTTTTCAGTAAGAGGGAGCACTAAGAAGATCTGAGCACTTTTTTGTGGAGTTGTATATTTGCCTGTTTTAAAAATGTATTTAAAAAGCAAAGGGATTAGAAAAAGCGTGGTTTTATTTCATTATTGTGTTTATTTTGCTTAGACAAGTTGCCTTATGAATGTAGTTTTTCTACAAACCTGGGGGTAGCCCATGCCTGATGAGAAATGTAATGTCTGTAAAGTTTGTGTTCTTATTCAGCCTTTTCAGAGTTTTTAGAGCTTTGTCTACAATCTGTTATGTTTTTTTTTCTTTCCAATCCCCAAAATGGTACTGCATGAGAACATATCCAGACTGTTTTTGTGATTGAGGGAGATTTGCCTCTGTTTTCCTGCAGAATTAATTTCTGCTGTAACCACAGATGCTCTCTTAAAAAGGTCTGACAAAAGGATTTCTCCCTCCACAAATACAGCCCTTTTTGTTTAGCAAAGATTTTCAAAGGGATTTTTCCCAATTCCAATTTTTTGTCATAACATTTATCCTCCAATATGAATTGGAAATGCTGCTTTTTCAGTGTGGCTTGTTTTTCTAAATTAATCCCGTTTTGCTTGCTCTACCTCTCCTGCCATTTGCCAGTGTTTACTTTCCTGCAGTGTGGTTTCAGCTTCAAAGCCAGTGCAAGAATGCGTTGCCCTCCTCCCTCCCCCTGCCTCCTGCCTCTTCTCTCCACCCAGTGCTCCACTTCCCCTGTCCTTCCTCACTTAAATAGTTGGTAGCTGCTAGACTTAATGGTGGCTTTTGTGTGCGAGCTGTGGCTGTTTGCATATCTGTCTGAAACGGAAAGAGGAAACTGAAGTAAGGGGGAGACGGTAAACGAAAAAAAAACTCTGGAAAGCCACTTCTTTTAAACTCATACCGTCACTCATTTTGCTTTCCTGCATTTTCATCTACAATAATCGCTTCATTGTGATGTCTTTGTGTTGCGTATGACATGACTTTCACTGGTAATGAGCAGGATGGATGGACTGATAAAAGAAATGCCGCTGAGGGAGATTTGACTTCATTTTTCTTTTTTGTTTCCCCAGATCAGGAAGCTGTGTTGGCTGTGGTTTGAGAAAGGAACATGGCTTCCCAAGGTGAGTTGATAAACTGCAGGCGCGCACTCACTGGAGCTTTACTTGATTATCACTAAATGTGCACATGTGCATGAATTGAATAGTTTGTGCTACGTTAAACTTATCAGCAGAACAAACTGGGCCTCCCTCCCTGTAGGTTTATGTTCTTCTGAAAACACTGCATTGCTTATCGATTTCAATTTGACACTGTATAAAATTTGATTTGATGCTCGGAGGGTTTTTCTCTGGTAAATTCCACCTAACAAAATTCAGGTATGAAAGGACAGCAAAATAATAACACAAGATACAGGTCAGAAATCCATTTCGTGCTGGGGTTATAAAGCAGTGTTGATGCCACTGGTACCACCTGACATCAGCTTCCATTGTAATAATGTTTTTGTTTTAGTTTTTTTTTTTGTTTTGATCCAGTAGTATCATTGTAAATGAATGCTACAAAGTAGTTCTGACATTTTACAGCAATCTTTGTCAAGTGGCCATGAAGCTGCTCATCTGACTGCCCTGCCTTGCTGCTCATATTCATGAGTGTTTTTAACTGTTTTCAGCTGATCTGATGGAACTTGACATGGCCATGGAGCCAGACCGTAAGGCAGCCGTCAGCCACTGGCAGCAACAGTCCTACCTGGACTCAGGCATCCACTCAGGGGCCACCACAACTGCTCCTTCTCTCAGCGGTAAGGGCAACCCTGAGGAAGAGGATGTGGATAACCAGGTCATGTATGAGTGGGAGCAGGGCTTCAACCAGAACTTCTCCCAGGACCAAGTACAAGGTTAGTTGTAACACTACTTCTAACTATAGGAAAACGATGGTTGCACAATTGCTACAGTTGACATGGAGCTGCTTCTCCCCTGTGTTTGCTAGACCTGGATGGTCAGTATGCCATGACTCGTGCTCAGCGGGTGCGTGCAGCAATGTTCCCAGAGACTCTTGAGGAGGGCATGCAGATCCCCTCCACACAATACGATTCTGCAAACCCAACTAATGTCCAGAGACTGGCAGAACCCTCACAGATGCTCAAGCACGCTGTGGTAAATCTGATCAACTATCAAGATGATGCAGAGCTCGCAACCAGAGCCATACCAGAACTCACCAAACTTCTCAATGATGAGGACCAGGTAATTTTCCACACAGGCTGTGAATCACAATTCTCTCTCAAATCCTGTTATTTATTTATTTTTTCCTGTTCTGTAACTTTTGTTTGCCTGCCCCCAGGTGGTTGTTAACAAGGCTTCAGTGATGGTTCACCAGCTGTCAAAGAAAGAAGCGTCCCGCCATGCCATCATGCGCTCCCCCCAGATGGTGTCTGCCATCGTCAGGACCATGCAGAACACAAATGATGTGGAGACGGCTCGCTGTACTGCCGGAACGTTACACAACCTCTCCCATCACAGGGAGGGACTGCTGGCTATCTTCAAGTCTGGAGGAATACCAGCTTTAGTTAAAATGCTCGGGTATGTACCAGGAGCAGGGAGTGTTTCTCAGGGGATCCCAATTACGTGGTGTACTGTGGCTCATAAGCAAAGCCAGACAGGAGGCAGTGGAGTTTTTATGGACAGAGATAAAAGTCATCCCACTGTTTGTTTGTTTTTTGTTTTTGGCCGGAACCTGATGTGTTCAGTTTCAGGATAATTTTTTTTTTTTTTTGGTACGTGGATCTCCCATCAGTTGAGAAATCTGCAGAATTGTAATTGGCTGTTTATTTACCAGAGGCAGAGGTTGCTTTGAGCAAAGTCCTCAGAGAAACATAATGAATACATTTAGCTTTGAGTTTATTTTTAGCTAATCAAACAGTCCTGTTCTCTGCAGCTCCCCAGTGGACTCTGTCCTGTTCTACGCCATCACCACCCTCCACAACCTCCTCCTCCACCAGGAAGGAGCCAAGATGGCTGTCCGCCTAGCAGGTGGCCTGCAGAAGATGGTGGCTCTACTCAACAAAACCAATGTCAAGTTCCTGGCCATCACCACTGACTGTCTCCAGATCCTGGCCTATGGCAATCAGGAAAGCAAGGTGAGGGGTCAGAGGGGCAATGATGCAGCAAATCTAGATTGTTGAAGTTATTCAAAGACAGTTGTTTTCTTTTGTACCTCTAAAACATCTGTCCTGTTTGTGTGTTGGTGTAGTTGATTATTCTGGCCAGTGGTGGCCCCCAAGCTCTGGTCAACATTATGAGGACTTACACTTATGAGAAGCTTCTGTGGACCACAAGCCGTGTTCTTAAAGTTCTGTCAGTGTGCTCCAGTAACAAACCAGCCATCGTGGAAGCAGGTATTGACATGAGTACTGTTGTACTAATACTGTCGTTCAATGTTTTTATGTGATCCTAACATATTAACCATCTCGATTTAATCTGTGCTCAGGAGGTATGCAGGCCCTGGGGCTGCACCTGACAGACCCCAGCCAGAGACTGGTCCAGAACTGTCTTTGGACTCTCAGGAATTTATCAGATGCTGCCACCAAACAGGTGACGATAATGGCAACTTTGTGTTTCCATATTTTTTTTTTCAAAAGTCCTTTCTAGACGGCATGCTCTAGCAGAAGATGAAAAAGAAGCTTTATATTTTTCAGCCAAACAACATTGTTGTAGCTTGCATTGATGTGCTGCTGACCAAGTGTACAAACTCTCCTGTAACTGCTCCTCAGGAGGGAATGGAAGGTCTGCTGGGAACTCTGGTGCAGCTGCTCGGTAGTGACGACATTAACGTGGTGACCTGTGCCGCTGGGATCCTGTCTAATCTGACCTGTAACAACTACAAGAATAAAATGATGGTCTGTCAGGTGAGAACGTACAGGGGTGCACGATTCCAGGGGAAATTTGATTGTCATTTTTACACACATGCAACTTTTTTCCATTGTGATGTCTCCTTCATGGCCTCTGGATCAATTTCTCTCTCACCGGTTGTTCCCATCCAGGTTGGAGGCATTGAGGCATTAGTCCGCACAGTGCTTCGGGCCGGGGACAGAGAAGACATCACAGAGCCGGCCATCTGTGCCCTGCGCCACCTCACGTCTCGACACCAGGACGCTGAAATGGCCCAGAACGCTGTCAGACTGCACTACGGGCTGCCTGTGGTGGTCAAACTACTGCACCCCCCCTCACACTGGCCTCTCATTAAGGTACTGGCCAGACCCAGCATCAGTGTGACCTGATGAAGCCATTGCAAACAAGTCTAAACTAAAAAAACAGAACAAATGATACATAGCCCTCTAGGAGTACTACTGTGTAGCACTTGTCATCAATGAGCTGTGATTGGATGTCTAGTTGAAAAACCATCGCTGTGCTCCGTCAGGCCACCGTCGGTCTGATCCGCAACCTGGCGCTGTGCCCTGCAAACCACGCCCCCCTGAGGGAGCAGGGCGCCATCCCCAGACTGGTTCAGCTGCTGGTCAGAGCGCACCAGGACACGCAGAGACGCACCAGCATGGGAGGCACGCAGCAGCAGTTTGTGGTAAGAGCGCTCACACATTCCTCTGACCGCGGCCATCTCCCACCGGTGGCCGTTCTGCCCGGTGTGAGCTGCAGCGCATGTGCAGCCCGCACGGGTCAGTTCTAAGCCCGGTCCTCCTCCAACACTGTCCGTAGTTAATGGAGGGTGAAGGAAGCCTTATTTACTGTCTGCTGAGGACTGTTCTCAACCAGTGTGTGTTGTGGAGAGGGCAACAGAAAATAAACGCATCCACTTCTAAAAGGGCTGTGCTTTTAGGAGGGAGTCCGCATGGAGGAGATTGTGGAAGGCTGCACAGGGGCGCTTCATATCCTGGCCAGAGACGTCCACAACAGGATAGTCATCAGAGGACTCAACACCATTCCACTCTTTGTGCAGGTGAGTAAACCACTGACCGACACATTTCAGACCTATTATTCCTCCTGTAGAATGACTGAAGTATCTCTGTATTTAAAGGTGTTGAGAGTACTTTTGCTGCCAGTAGTGGCTCTTGGTCAGAGTGGTTTATTTGACCATTTTGTGTCTGCAGCTGTTGTACTCGCCCATTGAGAACATCCAGCGTGTGGCAGCAGGTGTGCTGTGTGAGCTGGCTCAGGATAAAGAGGCTGCTGAGGCCATCGAGGCCGAGGGAGCCACTGCCCCACTCACAGAGCTGCTGCACAGCCGCAACGAAGGAGTGGGTAGGTGCCGTTACCCATGCTGCCGTCTTTGATCCAGCCCAGCCCTTCCACAGGCCGTAACTATGCCTTTGGTTTCCACTTTTTGAGCGTAACATTTGATATTCATCCTCATTCTTTTCCAGCAACATACGCAGCAGCCGTTTTGTTCCGCATGTCTGAGGACAAACCCCAAGACTACAAGAAGCGCCTCTCTGTAGAACTCACCAGCTCACTCTTCAGGACTGAACCCATGGCTTGGAACGAGGTGAGAAGTGTTTAGGATCTATTGTTCAGCCCTCATACCTTTCTGCTGCTGCCACCCTTCTCATCCTCTTTGTTTGGCCCTGCAGACCGGAGACCTGGGCTTGGACATCGGAGCACAGGGAGAGCCTCTGGGCTACAGACCAGAAGGTAAGTCACCTCCTCCGCTTTGTGTGGGACACTACAGTCAGCCAACAAACAAACTGCTCTGTGTGTGGCGCCCTGAAGACGCATGAACCCACAGCACCGTGGGTCTGAGCCCGTCTCAGAACCACTGCTGTAGGATTAAAGGTTAAAAACAGCAGAGTGTCTGCAAAGAGATGGAAATCAAATAAAACCCAGTAAAGTGAAATGCTGCCGTCACACTGTCCCAATTGGCCCTCTGGTGTGTGCGTGCTGACCAGTGAGCTGGGGGGCTTATTTACTCCACTCCCACTCCTGCTGCACTGGGAGCTGGGACTGGACAGACAGACTAACGGGCCCGGTGGTGTTCTGACCCGCCCGAGCACCGACACCCAGCAGAGACCCACGGGTGGATGTCTGAGGACAGCCCACGGCCGCGGTGTGGAGGGTGCTGTTAGGGTGCTGTTAGGGTGCTGTTAGGGTGCTGTTAGG